ATTCTGCTTGGGGACAGATCTATTTGAACGATTGACACTTGAGATATAATCAGCAGGTAGCGGAACGTCGTCATCGTCATCCGTTTCTGATATCACGACTATTGTACCATCCAGTGCAGATGCATCAAATTCTCGATCGTTTATGCATAGGCTCGTGGCCAACTCCACTGATGAGCAGACACGGCTCTCTATTAATAATCAATCGGCCAATCAAACTGCTTTATCGTCTTTTACAACACCGTCAGTATTTGAAATGACACCGAGGACATTGAATACCCAACCATGTGCTCAAGTTGAATGTCTTAATAATGGCACTTGTGTTCTTGGACCAGATGGACAGGTTTCTAAATTGGTTTATTTCTCTTGAATTATAGAGCTTTGTACAAGAGGCGATCTAATGATATTGTTTAAAAAAGAATGGCTGTAGATGGATGAGGTTTAATTTATTTGATTATCGCATTTACTTACAGGCGAGTTGTTTATGCTTAGAGGGTTTCAACGGTGAACGATGTGAATTTAGTGCTTGTGCGACAATGCCATGTATGAACGGTGGCGTGTGTCGTATATCAGGGGCAGAACCCATTTGTGAATGTCCCTTCGGAGTCACTGGTATTCTTTGCGAACAAGTTAGTCAATTTAACGAACTGTTCGTTTGTGGTTAAGATGAGTAGAAATCGGTTTAGTTTCACTTGCTCGAGCGATCACTAGCAAACGGTCTTGTCAGCGCTGTCATCGATAATGCGGAATATCTCAGGAAAAAGCGCATGATTATTTAAAAGCTGTTCGTGATTTCGTATCACATCACATTCTTGCGTGTTTGCGATTTGTGGAAGGATGATGGATGAGTTTATTGTATTCTAAGGCAATCTGCGATCCATTGTGCGAAAACGGAGGTTCCTGTGAGCTTGTCAACGGAACAGCTATCTGTCAGTGTTTACCTGGCACAACGGGTATTAACTGTAACCTGATGGATGTTTGCGCTGAGTGAGTGTTATTCAATCAAATTTTATGATTATCTTGCTTCTTCGTATTTCACACTCACAATGAATTTCTCGCTGTCTCAGCTCAATGACAAGATTACCATTTGTTAACTCTAGCTGACTTTCATTCAGTAAACATCAGTGGTCGACACTCGAAAAAGATCCCATTTTATGAAGCTCTCTCTGGATGCACATCTTCGACACTCATATTCTAGTAATTCGCAAAAAAAACTTGCTTCATGCAGTTTAGCAGTTAAGCAATGCAGATATCAGATAAATGTGTGTTATTGTGCCAATAAATAATTATGTACAAAGGAGCGGGGTTGTTGCCATGCTTCCAGCAATCACGTCACTAACGAAGTTTGCAGAGGAATAGATTGTCATTGGGGTTGTTTCGAAAGTGATGTTTGATGATGGCCGAGAGATTTTGTAGTTGTTGAATTTTAGGGCATCAACGTGTGCCGTATTCGGTGAACATGCTCGATGTCGTCTCGACCCGAACAGCTTAATGCTCATCTCACCAGTCCCCGTCAACGCTTCATATCTTTGTGAATGCGCTAACGATCACAACGGTGAACACTGAAACATTTCACTTCAATTAATTTTCGCATTCTTCAATCTTAATGACTATTTCCATCCCCTATCTGCATCACTATCAAAGCTACCTGAAAGTATTGATCGAAACTCCAATAGATACAAATCTAATCATTTATGTCTTTTAGAATGGGTAAACTGTTTGGAGTTGGCCATGCAAGCTGGCCCTTTTACATCACTACCACCATTGATCGCAGTGAAACCGTCGACTCTCAATATATCACAACCAACTGGTGTCAATGCGACCAAAATCGGAAGTAGTATATCAGTTTTGAGTGGATTATTCAATCGTAGTTCAGTGATGAACAAAACTAATGAAGAATCGCCGTTCAATGTTTCTGGTGAACTTCCCTTCCCACATTTGAATACCGATTCACCAACGCTTCTTCATTCAATGTTCGTAACACATTCACCTTTCATCTAAGTGATATTATTCATTCCTTAAATCCCTTCATCTGACATTATTTGAAAAAAAATACAACGTGTTCAGTTTTTATTGTTGATATTCTTTTTCTATTCATAGTTCCAATCCAATGAGCTATTGTAAAATATTGCTGCATTTTGAACGTTATGCTCTGCGAGTATTGACCGGTGGTAAGAGTACAGAGTTGTTCAAGAAAAAACTCAATGTGGAAATGTGGAATATTTCAATTAATTGCAGAACAACAACCGAACCAAGTGGAACAGCTAACGAACTCACGACAACACAAGAACAAGACCTTACATCGACTGACGAACTGAATCGCCAATTATTGAGTGGTTTTATTTTCCCAGGTTTGACGAATGCAACCGGATCATCAAAGCACTCAAGTAGCAACGATTCCAGCGAAGTGCTCTCATCATCTGAATCAACAACCGATGCGGATCTCTCATCTGCTCCCAATCGCACTTCCCTTCTATTCCCACCATTCTCGTCATTCACCATACCAAACTTCACAAGTCTATCATCCGAGCAACTACTTACAACAACAATGCAACCGTTTTCACCCGCAGTAAATGCTACCAAGCTCACTGATATGCAACAAAATCAGTCCGAGCTACCATGGTCACCATTCGAAGAGACATTGCTCACGAACACGCCCCCCACTACGGATTTACCAACCGAGCCTGATTATGACTTACCCACTGACGAGACGTCACCGTCCACAACAGAAAAAACTGACGTTCCGTTATCAACAGAAGGTTTTGGTTCGGATACAACATCGAATGAAGAAACAGCAACAACCGAAGCAAGCATCCCCTCATCTCAATTGACGGTTGGTCATCGTTCTAATTTGTTTCCTATTCGGAACTTCAAAACTCATATGTTTTTTCTTTTCTTTTAATTTTCTTTACTTTTTCGAGACTTTCGAAAAAATAAACTTATGAATGGTCATTGCATGCGATTACTTGACATGAGCGCATATTCAAGATGAAAAATATGATGGTTCAAATCTTGCTGTTGGACTGAATCGGTTCATGAATTGTATTTCATTCCGATAGGCCGAATGAGACGAATTTGATTTAAGACTATGCGTTCGATAGTTGTATCAACAACGAATTTCGAGCAGCCGCGCATATCAACTACTACTGAAGCGGAACAGAGCTCAGAACCACCGACAACGTCACCAGAAGACGAAGATGAGATGGGCAACGAAGTGGTCACCTCTGAAGTTGATCATTATCCGTATGCATCATCATCATCATCAACACCAACGCCCTACCAACCCGACTCGAATCAGTCTCATAAAGCATCCGCCGCAGATGACTCGTCAAGCACTTCGTGGATCATCGCATTGGTCATTGCAATCGGTATAACAATTCATTCAACGTTTGTTATTGCTTTACTCACCCAATCCTTTCTCCAGTCAATTGCCAATGTCATTTCAGTTTTTCTGCTGCTGTTGGCTGTGATCGCACTGTTCGTTGTGCGATACATCCAGCGAAGTCGCAAACTTCACGGCAAGTACAATCCAGCCCGAGAAGAGAATGTCTTAGCAAATTCGTTTTCAATGCCAATGACTACAGTTACGAAAGAGGAACGACTTATCTAATAATAACTACTGTTGTTTTTCATCATATTTCTTTTCCAATGCAAAACCGGTGTTCACATTATTAATTGTTCTGTTGACATATTTCTTACAATCGTTTTATTTGCATTATCCTAGCATTCCAATTACCGTCGTATCAAAACCTTCATTTCGTCATTATAAACACCGTGACTAACCCGTTTGTCTCCGTTGCTTTTCAATCGAAATGAAATTCATATTTCATTGAAATGACCTTTACTAAACTCTCAAAACATCTGACATAGCTTTAACTGTAGCATAAGTAATTCATAGAATCTTTATGCAACATTTTCCTAGTCTCAATCATTAAAGAATTTGATTGCTTCGAATGAAATCNCCTCTCTCAGTTGAGCATTAGTTAGTTTAGATATGGAGGATAATGGAATAGATACGTTCTCGTCATAAGAATGCACTTCCGTTGAATGGTGTACTTTGGCGATTTATTAATTTAATAGTTTGACTGGTTGACGTCTGATGTTTGTCATTAACATTAAATTGACATTTGTTCCAATATCGTTTATGCAAAGTTGATGATTTGGCTTTTCCTTGAAAATGTTATGTGCTGTTCTTAAGCCTCAGAGATGTTATATGTATATTGATTTGAAAAGTTGTGCTGTTACGTAAGCATTTTTTTCAGTGTTTTTGTACGTACATTTATGCGTATATGCTCAAATTAGTATGTTCGAATTGCCTTTTATATAACTGCTGTGGTGATATCATTTGCATTCAATTGACATTTACGCTTTGCATTGAGAGTGAACAATCTCTTTTCGATTGACCGTTCTTTTGATTTGTTCGTTTTGCATGTTGCAATTTATTTTGATGGTAAAAAGTCGTGTGATTGAGTGAGCAGCTTTTGAAGACTTATCGCATTCTGTTGCTGAACTTTTCAGCCGTTATTGTTTTTGACGAGATTAGTATGAGTGAGTATTCTCTCATTCAGTGAATATTGGGTCGATGAGAAAGCGGAAGCATCTATCTAATGGAAATATACGAGGGAAGCTGGGTTTGAAACAGTCACGGTTAACGCAAGGTATAGCGTGCTTGATCGCTTTCTCGCGCCGAAAGTCGCCACTCCGAACTGGGCATGTGGAGAATAGACCAAAGATTATAACACCTTTGACGGTGAATGTTGACGTTCGCACACTACCACTTGAAAAAAGTCCCTCGGAAGTATGTTTTTGGAGAAAATACGGACGAATTTCTCTCGGCCATCTTTAATACCAGTTTTATGTAAATTATTGAATCAGAATGATGTAATCTTCGCATAATTTCATTCTGAAATGCAAAGGACGAACTGAGAGTAAATTTCACAACTGGTTTACTCAAATTAGAAGTGCACTTACAATCTCAATAATGCTTCAGGCAAACGAATGCTAAACACTCCTCATTGATCTTTGTTTTAACTTCATCATTTGCATATATGGCTTTAGAGGAATTTGCAAGACATTAATATCATTCTTTTTGGCCGTGAATATGAGAGTCCAATAAAATACTTTAGCAGCATTCGTTGAAGAGAAAAAGGTGAGTGATAACGACGTCTTTTTAATGGCGAGTGTGCTAAATAAAANATTTTTGCACTGATAGGGCAGCGAGAAAAGTGAGTGGATCACATGACGGTACTATTGTTGACGGTCACTTATCGCTTGAGGCTTCGTTTCGTGTCGCTTCAAGGACAGCTGTTCTGTTTATATTCGTAGCTGTTCTGTTTATATTCGTAGCTGTTACCGGGCGACAATCGTTTATGCACCGTAATTCGTGAGTTTAAGAGGATGAGTTTACTTGAAATTGAATTAAATCAACGCAAGGTTCTCGCTGAAATGCCCCAACCATACAGCTTCCGGTTCACAATTTCTTCGCTTACTACTGTTTATTTGTGAAATATTATTTGATATTAAATTTTGGCGTTTAATCGGTTCACATGACGACTATTGTAAAAACATGCACGTACCGTGTTTCATTAATTTCACCTGGGTTTCAATAATTCTTTTGTTGGCTCTGATATTGTCGAGAATTGCAAGAGAGAATCTTGTGTGATTCGTGGTATTTTTCACTTCGTGAAGCATTCTTACTACCATTATTATTAGCATTTATTATTATTATTAATTTGTTTTTATTGCGTTCCGCATTTTGAAGTGATCACTCGATTACTCACATCATGAGGAATAGAACGATCAGTTCAAGTCGCATATACAATTCAAGTTTGTTATGCAAAACAATTTTTAATATATTTCATCAGCCATATCTCTACTTTCTGATGAGGTTTAATACTGCCAGAGTGTCGTTCCTTGCTCATCTCATAATCGCATAATGACAACGTTAAACAAACCACTTGTTCAAACGATTTGCAGTAGTCATTCATTCAAATAACTAATCAACATTTAATGTTAGAAATACAAGTTATTCAAGAAATATATCATGAAAGCTAACAATAAGCTAAACGACTGAACGTGTCAATATCTGCATGAACTGATACATACATGTCAGCAGTTTTTGTTGAATGCTTACAATGAGTTTCACTGAAGTGCGATAACGTTTATGTGTAAATGAATGCTGATAGTGCCTTCAGCTGATAACTATCAATTAGAGTATATGGATATAAACAATGCAGTGTGTATCTTCAATTGATTGCATTCATTAAAAAACCAAGCACACAATGTTCGTGAAACGAGTAATGAAAGTTGAATTTTGAATTCTGGAAAAGACAGAATAATAGGTAAGGAGTAACGGTGAATAGCACTTAAGCGAGAGTAGTCCCGTATGTGAACCTTTTCAGAATTTGATAGCATTGCAATGGCTTTACCTCGCTTAACGTACAAAAGTTTTCTGGATGCATCGAGGCACGTCTGCCTTCTAAACCGAGCACATTCTTGTCGTCGTCACTGTACAAACGATCCTCTTCTTATTCCAGTTGGCGAAAAAACATAATGCCGAACTGGCATCGTGCCACAACACTTCGTCGGCTCAGTGAATTGTGACTTATTTCACGTGACTTATCTGCTGAATGTTGTTTATGTTTGGCTACGAGCATTCCAGC